CCCAGCCCCACGCTGGACCCCAGCCCCACGCTGGACCCCAGCCCCACAGAAATCACAGGCCAGGATTGGAAGGGACCTTGGATCATGAATCTCCAACCCCCCTGCCATACACAGGGCCACCAACCTCCACGCTTAATACCAGACCAGGCTGCCCAGGGCCGCATCCAACCTGGCCTTGAACACCTCCATGGACAGGGCAAACACGCTGGACCCCAGCCCCACAGCCCTTCATGAACCCCATACCTGCCCCAAGCTGCCGATTCCACCAGCAAAATCCATTTCTCATTGCATCTCTCCCTCACACATCACACAGGCCCTGCAGGTGGGTGCAATCAAGAAACCACAGGCCAGAATTAAGTGGTTATTAACGTTTTAAAGCAAGAGAAGGTGTGGAACAAGAGGAAACCGGGCTTTGGTCTAGCAGAATGACAGGATCCTCGGTCCGGTGTGTTTTCTCTCCATGAAGCTTTACCTGAGGGGCGGCCCTCAGAGACCCGCCCAGCCCCTTCCAGCCGCTCAGCGAAGCGTTACTTCCATCCCTCCCGTCTTCAGCAGAGCCACGGAGGTACCCGAGGGAAGGAGGCGTAGACCGGAGCGAAGCCGCAACTCGCCCAGCTCAGCTGACTGCAATTAGGGCGGCCTCTTTTATTACCTCAGCGGAGTAACGGTCGGTCCGGCCGGGGGCAGCCGCCGCCGCCGCCGCTCGGCCCCTCCTGCTGCCGCGCGCGCGCCTCACCTGAACCCCGCCGAGGCGCCGCGCATGCGCACAGCTCCCCCCCAAAGTGCGCTCACCTGCGCTCCGCGTCCCCTCCGCCGCCTAAGCTGAATAGAGAGAAAGGGGGGGGGGAAGAGAGGCAGCCGCGCATGCGCCGCCGAGCGCCTCGCGCCGCTCGCCCTCCCCTCAGCCTATGGGTGTCTCCCCCCCGCGCGCGCCCGCGGCAACCACCTCCTCGGCGCGTGCCCGCGCGTGCGCGCGGCGGAGTCGCGAGACTGGCTGCGGGCGGCCACGTAGCGCTGCGGCGGCGGCGGAGGAGAGGAACGCTGAGCCGCCGAGTCCGAGCGGGAATCGCGTCCGTTGGCGTGAACCCGAACCCTCGGCCCGAAGGCGGAGGTCGTTCGGAACGTCTCGGAGGCGGCTGAGGGGGCCGAGCGGAGGGAGGGAAGGAGGGGAGGGAGGGCCCCGGCCGCCCTGCCCTCCGCCCTCCCGCCTCGCCTCGCCTCCTCCACCCGCCCTCCGCCGCCTCGCCCGTGCCCCCCCTCCTCCTCTCGCCGCCCGGCATGGAAGGCGGCGGGGGCGGCCCTGAGGGGATCGGCCTGGGTGAGTGAGTGAGTGTGTGTGTGAGTGAGTGAATGCGGGCCGCCCGACCGGCCCGGCTCCCCTTCCCCCTTCTCCCAGGCCTGGCGGTAGCGCTAGGCCCGATCGCGGGTGGGGGGCGGAGGGAGCGGGGCTGAACGGCCTGAGGGGCCGCTGAGGGGCGGGGGGGGGGG